ATGCATTGAGGTAGCTTGGCCGTTTGCTAAGCTGAGCAGATCCGTGTAAACATCTGACTGTTCCTTGGCGCTGACGTCTCAATGACCGCCCAGGGTCCCTGACGCTCCAGTCAGGGTCCTGTTCCAGCTCTTGTGCACGGCCGACTTTCTGGAGCTTGCCCGGTCATGGCCGTTCGGTCCTCGCCCTCGTCTCGCACTGACCAGGCGCCCCAGTTCCGAGCGCCGCTCGGCCGCCCGTCGCGCGTCCCCCCGCGCCGTCCTTCTCGTCGGCTTTCCACACGTTTTAGGCATGGAAGGGTTAAGTAGAGGGCATTTCAGCTGTCTGTGTAAGAAGGGAGCGTGCTTTGGTGCGTTACTTCGGCACAAATAGTCACACGTGCGAAACAGAAAGTGTCGAATAAACATGGACAGCGCTAAGACAAGGTTAAGAACACTCTCAAATGAACGTTTTTTTTAACAAACACACATCAATAATACCGTATTTCTGGCTATTCGTTTAGTAAATAAAATTCTGTATCTGTCAGGTGCGTTGACGGTGCACTAACAAACTTGCTTTCTTTTTACTCTGAGATACATAATGCATCGTAAAATTCTTAGGTAGTTTTATCTGCTTATCTCTGGAAAATTGTTGTTTGGTCTAATTCTGGAAAGTTATGCTGACCGTGCGTGCTATTTTGCTACCGTGCATGACATCGCATGTTATCTTGCTATTGACCACGTATGTCATCTTGCTTGTTTGTTAGCAGCGGCCCATAGAAAGTTTTGGCGGAGTGCCTTAAATTGGCCCGCATCGATATGAAACGCGGTCGACGGCTCGAAACCGCAAAGTACACCACTAACAGCAATCGCTGTAATATTGGCTTAGCAACGCTGTAAAAAGCAACGAATTTTGATACAAGGGCACGATGCTGAGGTACTGTCACGGGAGGAGGCATGTTGGGATGACGTTCATTTGTAGCTTTCAAACAACTCTCCAGACGTCGCTTGTTCCTAGAAAATAGTCCATTGGCATTGATTGCCGCTTGGAAAGGCTAGGAAAACCTCCGCGATTCCCCTCCCCTTTTTCAATACACACACATATACACACACGCACATACATCACCTGTGTGATTAAGTCTACCACTCTAGGAGAAAAAGTAGCCACAAATGGAGGAAATCACCTGTGTCATTAAGTCTATCATTGTAGGAGATCAAATTGCCACAAATGGAGGAAATCATAGTTTCCCTTCTTGTGAACGGCGAAAAAGAATGAAAGCGAATGACATTTCCATGTCCTTAGAAAGGAGGACCACGGATGAGCCTAGTGTTAAATGCTGGCAATAGGTCAATCCCAATAGACTACCTCCATAAATTTGTCACCGCGCGCGTTGCATTCTGGGAACCTGTGGGCCAGGAGTGGAGCGTGTATGAATATTCCCACTAATTCCCTCAATGCGTAACGTCGCTGTACGCAGCGATGAGGTGCTCCTAGTTTTAGAATAAGTTTATTTGCAAACGACCAGCACAAAAAAAAAAATTACAAAAAAAAAAAGCGGCGCGTCTTTTCTTTATGTATCGACACGGTGTCAAGGTACCCTAAACTGGTTTTTAGTGGCGCGCCCTCTACCGGAAATTAAAAAAAAAGACGAGTGCTTACACAATTTTTCCGTGATTGGCGCTGCGATGGTGACCATTGACCTTCATTCACCCTTCACTTAAAATGAACCAACCAGGTTGAGAGGTGTTTCCCGCTGTTAGCCGCTCGGTGATGTATTCCGAACAAAACGTAACTGAGCAAACGAGCTGGTGTATATTGAATATTACTAAGAAAAGCTCCGCGACTGGTGTAAACAAAAGGACAGTACAAACTCTGTCTCAAAAAGGGAGACTTCGTGTTTGTCCTGTCCTCATTGTATGCTATCTTATTTCGGCAAAATCGGAAGAAATTTCGGGGAGAGGACCGAAATGTTGTTTCAACATGAAACCGCTAAAGCTGGATGTTTTTTCGTGCGTGCATATTAGCGAGTTTTAGTAGACCGTGTTTCCCCTCCGCTAAGCCCCTCCGCTACACGGAACTTTACAGCCAAGGCTATCGGCGCGCAGGCGCAGTGGCGGTTTCTTCGTAGTGGAGGGTTAGCGGAGGGGGAAACACGGTCTACTAAAACTCCCTATTATTGCCAGAAAGGTCCACCATGATTAGAGAGATGCGTTCCTAAATCTTAAAATCAGCAAAATGGAAAAAAAAATGATCGGAACCGGCTATCCCAATTCGCAGTTATGTTTTTTTCTAGTTTACGGAAGCTAGGGAGATATATTTTCAGTTAAGTAGAGTAGGTATGTAACTCTCCAGCATTGTGTATCGCTTAGTGATTACATAAGCCACCGCTTCACTCTTCTTAAAAATTGAGACTGGCGATTATGCCCGTTCAACAATAAAGCAAAATTAGTATTTTACGTGTGCCTTGTATATCACGTTTATGCTGTCAACGTATTCGCTCATAACTTTCGCTAAAGTTCGGCAGCATATTGTTCTAAAAAAACGATGAATGTGCTTTTGGTGTCTTGAGGCGTAGGATTTTTTTTTTTTGGAGGGGGGGGGGGGGGGGGGGCAAATATGTTAGCAAACATTCAGCCACCATAGAGAAAGAAAGTTTCAGCCAATGGCGAAAAAAAGTAGTGGGATTAATTTTCATCCCTTTTCTTGAAAGCATATGTCAAAGCTATAAGGGATGCAAATGTGGATTATTTCAGAGAATACTTCTTGCTTCTTCTTAGCTCATTGTCTGAGAGATATTTTTGGCAATATTAGAAGAGGTATAATAAATGATCTTTGATTGATTTGCGTCATGTGGCTAAGCAAACATGCTTCTGATTAAGAAAGAAATAGGTACAACGAAGGTGGTAAACAACTATGGAAAACAAATTCAAAAGAAATGGTAAACTTCGGTGACTCGAGCAACAAAAAATATATTAAGAAATCGTAAGGGTGCAGGCGAGCTGGTGAACATTAACCATGTTGAATTAACCTGAGACTGGGGTAGAGAAGAAGCATCAAAACGTAGAAGGGGCAGAAAATAGACAGGACGACGTCTATTTTCTGTCCATTCTACGTTTTGATTCTTCTTCTCTATACCCCAGTCTCAGGTTAATTCAACATGGTAAAAAATATATCCTCACCGAGAGACGGGTCGGTTGCGTTAGGACAGCATTTGAACTGCATTTAGACTGCATTCGGGATGCCTTTGGGCTGCATTCAGACTGTATTCGGACTGCATTCCAACGGTACTCGGTGTGCATTCCGACTGCATTTCGACTGCATGGAGTGTGAATTCGGACTGCATTCGGACTGACTTCGGACTGCATTTGGGTAACATTTGGAATTCCATTACCTAGAGTGAGAAACCATATCAGAGAGTCTAGGCCCCAGTCTGGTCTGATCGTGACCACGCTTTAGACCAGCCTGAGAGCGAACATTAGCTTTCTTGGAGAAGCACGAATTGCGTCCTCGGTGACGTTCAGCCCCCACTCAACTGTGCATCATAACCAAAATGCCAAACGATCTTAAGAGCTGCTTTATTACACCGCTGCAAGTGAATAATGCGGTGCGACCATACGGCCCTGCAGAAGCAAAAGAACACGGGCTGTGGGTGTAAAAGAAGTGAAATGAGCTGAAGCGGAACAACACCAGCGTCCGCCCAAGACGGACGCCCATCAAAGGCTGCCAGCAGAGGAGTCCGAAACGGATCGAACTCGATCCACTCTTTCCACCCCTCGCAGAAGCCCTAGTTGACGCAACGCCGCAACAACACTAACGAAGACACGTATGATGCTTAGCGAAACCCCCGCGGAACCGCAAAATCCATCCGCCCACAAGACCAGGCACAAGACCTCGCCGTACACAATCCACTCTTCCGTTCACGGGCGATAAATAGTCGCCCTCTCACCCCCCTTGCCGACTACACCCTACCTTGCCCGCCGTCACGGGCCATTCTTCCAGCGCTGTCAAACAAGCAGGCGCAAACGCACCCCCCAAGATGGCGCGGAAGGGGGCCGGCTCTGCCGACCGCCCCGCCTCCCGAACCTCCCGGAGCGCGTGACAAATGGACCCTCTCCACTTTGTTCGCTTATAATCGCTTCGGATAATGACGTTACGTTCGCACAAAACGCGAGAGTTTCGTCTCTGCTAGTTTTGAAAAGGAAACCATCGATCGGGGGAACTGTGCTCAATCCACGTAGATTGTATGGCTCCGGTCCGTTTCCCGACGGCTTCCTCGCATCGCGCTCGCTAAACAGGACCGAAACCAGTAAAAGAAGCGTCCCGCCTCCTCGTTCGTGATGTCACGGGTGGACTCCGCCTCCGCCGTCGGCCCACTCGGTAACACGAAGCCCCTCTCCTCACCGAAGCGTTGCGCCCGACCCAAAACATCCACGAGGAACGGCACAGATCTTTTCATCTCAGCACCATTCCAGCCTCTAGCAGCGGTGACGTGATCTCTCCCCTCCTCTTGAAACTCCACCTCCAGAGTGCCGACCCCCCTACGGCTAAAGAAAAAAAATGGACTGTGCCCCGTAGTTCCGCCATAGTTGTCCATGAGCAGAACCGCCGAGAGAGTGAGTGAGTGAGCGAACGCGTGCAGAAGTTCGTGCATCCACGAGGACGACTACAGAAGTCGCCACCACTCGCTACCCTCCCCATCCCCCTTCTCCTGGCATGGAACAATAACGGGCACCCCCCTTCAAACCAATCGCGTGCTAACGCGAGTCCGCACGCGTCCGCGCACACATTCAAGATGGCCGTCGCATCTCGAGGGTGAGGAGGAAACAGAAGAAGAACAAGGCGAGAGAAAGAGAGAGAGCGATAGAAGGGCATGGGAGTTGCAGAGGCGACGCTGGGCGCCGACATGGTCTCCTCTTGTGCCAAGTCATGTCCGTGAGTCCCAGGAAGCCGCACCAGCAGGATCAAGAGCATCGACCGCAGCCTCATCAGCATCAACAGCGTCAGCAGCAAGAGCATAATCATCATCATCAACAACAACCGCAGAGCCAAGCGCACAGCACACCGTTCTCAGTGTCGGACATCCTAAGTCCCCTGGACGTTTCGGTGGCTCAGCAACAGCTTCAGCAACTCCAGCAGCAAGAGGACTTTGGTGCGACCCTAGTGATGAACAGCCACTACGGCATGCAGCTCGGTTCCCAGGGGTTCCCGGGCAGCCAGTACGGCGCGGGGCCCCCGGACCTTGCGGGACACTACGCCGATCCCGTAAGGCAGTCGGCTGCAGCGGCAGCCGCTGCAGGATGGTACGGAGCGGCGCCGGACCCACGTTTCGCAAGTGAGTACACTGCCTGCCTCCTTTTGGCTTTTTTTCTAATCTTACTCCAGTAGATCCGAGTAACCCCTGCGGGTCATATCACGCGATAGCGTAAATAGAGCGGCGCTGAACACGATACGGTTTTCAACGCCAAGGAACAACGCCTTTACTCCGGAGTGAGTTGAGTAGATTTTGAACTGAGGCCGGTTAGAAACTGCCATGTTAGTTTTTCATAAAGTCTGCATGTCACGCATAAAAGCCCAGACAATGCTTCGCGTCACCCTAAGTTTGCACACAGCGTACGCTATAGGATCTGGCGGGATCAATCAAGCGATGTTAAAAAACGCGAATAACTGGGCCAATGCAGGTTCGATTCAGCGATGATAGAACACGTACAGAAACATCACGAACACCATGTTGGTGCGCTTTTGCCGCTGCATGGTCGGTTTCACCAGCTCGTCGTGATGGGCTGCGTGCGGCGTTACTGTGATGCGAAATATAGGATTGTGTACATACGTGCCGTTTGGTCGATTCACCTCATGTGACTCCGGGTATATTACTATAACATGTTGCGCGTATCCTCACGTGCCTAAGGTTACTCAGGTAAAGGGGGGAAGGGGATAAGTGAGACCGCATATGGTTATTGACCACCAGGATTCATGTCACAGGCTTTGGAATCTTAAGAAACCCCAAGGTGCCCAGGGTTTGCCGAGCATATCAGGCTATTGCGTCGGGGAAAAAATAAGTCTACCACATCCCGAAATGCTCAAGAAACAATTATCCCTGAGCAACAAGAGATAAGAAGACACGCACCCTTCTCTGCCTAAGCTGTCAGCGAGTGTAAATAAGAGAAAACATAACATTCCATTAATCGCCTCCCTCTGCATTGTTGCCATCTTGCTCCGTCGGGCCGTGGAACGCCTTCTGAGTTTGCGCAGTCGCTCTCTTCAGCGGAATATCACACGTGTGCGTCCACAGCCCAATGACTCGGCATTTTTTTGATTGACCCCCCGGGGGGGGGGGGGGGGGGGGGGGGGACAAGCGCAAAAAAGGGTGTGTACATTCATATTAAAAATACCGCAAAAGAGACGGGACGAAAATACGAAGAAGCATACAGGACAAGTGCCATGAATGCTTCCAACTTTGCTATCGCCGAGCACGCGCTTAGTCTCGTCTCAAGAGAAACAGGGCGTACCCCAAATCAGCGGATACAGGCCGCCCACCGCCTGTTCCGAAAAGTCAGCAAAACAGCTACATCACCCGCCGCACAATCCGAACAAAGAAACACTGTATACTGTTTCTTTTTTATTTTATTTTTTTTTTCGGAAGAGTTACGAGTTACTCATAAGGGACAGAAGAACAGTCCGATCGCAGCCAAGGCTACGATCTCATGGGGTCCATCACCTTTGTGCGCTTTCAGCGACTGAACCAAACACACGCACAGTGAAGGCGCAGTGATCCTGCTTTTTTATTTGCGAATGAATAGTATAGCTAATAATAACAATCGGCCCCCCCCCCCTCTCCAAACAAAAAAAAAAAGAGAAAAAAAGACACGATAGCCATGACGATGCTTGACTATTTGTGTCGCATAGTAGCGTCGGCTGCTGTCGGCCTTTGAGTAAAACAGGCTATAGATGGGCCAATAATATAGGAAATACAAGTTAATTATTAGGCTTCAACACATGCCGGACAAGGTACACGGGAATGCATGTTTTTTTCTGAGATATGCGAGCGATCTAATACCAGCGTCGTGGGACGAGTGTCTTACGAGAGCCGGGGAAGACTTGATGCGATTGTACTCGCCCTGGTTCCTGGGGGTTCGACCTCCGCCCGCCCCTTCCGGTTTGGAAGCGAACTCGGGTATCGTGGACCGTCGTGCGGTCACGGTAACACTGCTGCCCGATTCACGTAAAAGGCGCGATAGTACGAATTTTACACTACTTTTATTAAATACGACCTATAACGAATCCGCGACGTTCGTATAACCTACGAAAATACATAGCCATGCAAAAGGTAGTCGCGGAACAGATTTAACAGAAAAAAGAGCCGATTATTTGCATCCTGTCATAATCGTATGCCACGCACCGGTGTCGTCAAAACCTCAAAATTTTTGAGCTCTACTCATCGATAGAGTTGGCCTATTTATGACGCTGAAGCGACTAGCTTGAGCCACTACCAGAAAAAAAGTTTGCCGAGTCATTAATTGTCAGGGGCCGAGTGCACTGCAGCAATGCTCGGGCCCAATTCACGAGTCTCATTGTGACCTTCGACACGAACGTGTATTCCCTGTGACTGTACACCAACGCTGCGAAACCAGTTACTACACCATCGAGCTTTGCGAAGGAGAGACCGACGTAAAAAGTTCGTTTTCATACTCGAAATTACACCGCGACGAAGAAATCATCAGGGTCAATGGCGTGGCTCGCCAGTGTGCCTGGTGGTGGATACTAGTGGATGCCCGACCCGCCCCAAGCGTCAAACACGCCGAAGCTCGCCGACAGACGCCGCAAAGCGGCCGACTCATCCTTGGCGTCACCGCATGCTATACGGAGAGCAAGTTCGTCTGTTTCTTTTGCAGGGGTTGTGGTGACGTCAGAAGGCCGAGCTCTGATTGGCCCTAATTGAAGGATAGTGGGTAGGCGTCAAAGCAGACTGCCTTGAGGTCTACCAACTATCCTTTCAAGGGGAGCCAATCAGAAATCTGCTTTGTTCTGACGTCACAACCACCCCTGCAAAAAAAAAAAGAAAAAAAAATGACCGCATCGTGGTGAATGATGCTGATTGGGGCGAAGCCCTGGTGGTGCTGATAATACTGATTTTATTGTTCATAGGTAGTGCTGATGGTGCTGATTTTTTTATTGCTCATAGGTAACGCTGAGTTCCGGGTTGCGTTACGACTTCATTATTACTGCTTTATGGGCGTTGAAATGCAGAGCCAGTGGTTCTTCTAGCGGATCAGCTTTGATCCGCTAGAAGCCGTGGGAACGCATCTCCACTGCTTAAGTCAACGGTCCATGTCAGAAAGAGAATGTGCGGTGTGGAACGTGGTTATTTGAGCATTTGACCGCAGCGCCCTCTCGTCTCTAAACGTTGAGCCAATGCATGCAAAGTTTAACGCGATTATATACGCATTTGACCACAGCGCCCTCTCCTGTATAGACGTTGAGCGGCTACATCCAACGTTTCATCCATGACAGAAACCCCAGCTCTTGAGTTACTACCACATCTCAGAGCCTCCTACTCGTCTCGCAGTCGTGGCCGAGTGGTTAAGGCGATGGACCAGAAATTTATTGGGGTCTCCCCGCACAGGTTCGAATCCTGTCGACTGCGGAAACATTTTTTTCTTTTTATGTGAGCACGGACGCCGGACGGACGGACGGACGGACGGACGGACGGACGGACAAGGCTAGACCCTAGGGAGCTTCGCCCCTAAAAAGCAGACGAACTTGCGCACCGCATAGCGTCGCGCTCGTAGCGAGACGCTGCAAGGCGCGCGGGCGCAAACTGTAGGTGGCGCTGCGTAGAACCACTGGGGATGATGTATGGGTGGCCAGAAGCGTAGGCCGTGTCTTTTCGTGAGCGTTGCCCCTACCTAGTGCGGAGCGCACGATCGTCTGCTTGTTGCACAGGAGTACGATGGTGTCAGAACGCCGATCTCTTATTGGCTGACTGACAAAAAATAGTGGATAGACCTCAAGGCATCTAGCTTTCAGGTCTACCCACTTTCCTTCCAGCCAAAGCCAATCAGAACTCGGCGTCATTCTGACGTCACAGCAACTCCTTCCCAAGAAGAAGACGACTCCGCATATCGTTGCACGGTCACTTTTAAAGACCCAAGGTTAGAAGTTGCATCTGCTCTCGCTAAACTGCTCATCTACAGTTTTGAAGCAGTAGCTGCGAACCCCAAAGACAGATCGAATTCTAGCGCTAGAAGCATATAAAATCCCCAAGTTCGTATTTCTTTTTTTAGACTACCTTATTCAGACAGCAGGTTATTCATAGAGGTTTCATTCTTTGTGCAGTATCTTTGACATTTGAGATTACACGGCTCGTGCTTGTCAATCGTTTTTTTTAATCTTTTATGTTCTTAGTATATGCGGCATAAAAGAAGTACGTGCGTGATGTATTAAGCTTTTATGTTAGATGAAAGGCTCGCACATGTGGAGATGAAGGGAGTTATAAACGGGCAGTTGAGAAAACATAGACCATGCAGGATATGCATGGGTTTTGCAGGGTTGACCGCAGCGGCGCAAAGAAGGAGTTGAAATTTTCTAAATGCAAATTAAATAAGGAAGCGCTTCTGGCAGGGCCCTCCACGGCGGTGGCATCTTTTCAATCTTCAACTTTTACCCAGTCGGTCGTTCGGGCTTTATTTGTGTGAGTGACGGCCCTTTAAGGCTCCTTCTGACCAATCGGGAGGTTGGTGAAATACGAGTGCGCGATCCGAACAATTTTCTATCTTTATTAAGTCATAGTGGGTAGCAAACGAATAATTGAGTACACTCGTTGTATGAATGGGAAGCCAGCCTGCAACGCCACTTTGTTTTTATTGTAAAAGAAGTTTAACTTGACTTGACTTGACTGGACTTTGACTTGACCTTAGTTGGTCCAGGGAGCTTTATCTTATGACACTTTAAATATAGGAACATATTCATAATGCGTCCGAATATTTAATCATGTTCATATAATAGAATGTGAGTATCTTCGTCACGCCACACTGTTTTAAAAACATTGAAAGAATAATATTCAGTCCACAAGCTTTCGTTTCCTCAAGAGGATTCAGTAAATTTGTTCCGTGCTCATAAATCATCCATCAAGCCTTTTCCGATTCTGCCGATCGCAGTGGATGGAAATTGAAGACGTTGACTTCTTAACGACACCAATGTTGACTGACTACCCCAGAATATCTAGTAAACCTTAAAAAAATAAAATCATCACGCAAAAAGTAAAAAAACAAATATATAAATGCTTCTAGCAAATATTTAAGACAGCAATTATCTACTAAAACTTCAAGAACCAAC